ACTGGACAAATCTTGTAATTAGTAGATATCATTACACCGACCAACTCACATGAAATTTTGATAAAAATACAAGAAATTTCATACTAAATACTACTCCCTCCGTCCCTTAAAACTTTGTCATCTTTCCTTTTTTGGATGTCCCGCTAACTTTGTCACTTTCCTTTTTAAGTAAATAGTTTATGGTTCCAATTAATTCTTTCTCCTCTGCACAAATCTTAACCACATAATTTTTACTTTATTAATCTGCGTGCCGTTCAAACTTGACAAACTTGAATTTTTGTATTTAAATTCACAAAGACTCAAATAGTGCAACACAACTAATGAAAAATATAGGAAAATGATGATACACCAGATAAATATCATCTTCAATTTACTAAATTCATGTGAAAATATAAAAGAATGTAATCAAATTGTTGAATATAATAGAAAAAATCATTGTTCTTCTTCTTTTTTCTAGATTAAATATTAGTTCTAATTTAATTTATAGTTGAATCGTGAGAGGTAAGATTTAAATCATACCCTGCAAGAAATTAATAGTCATTAATATATTTAACACTTTAGCATTCTTTCAATGTATACTAAAATATAACTTACATTATCTAAAAAGCAAAAACACCAATATAATATTGATATAAACACATAGATTTAGATATTTTGGAGACACATGAACACATGCATACTTGGGCTATAAAATTGTTGGTTTAAAAAGTGATTTATTGATATCAAAAAATATAAAAATCTCAAATACACTATTTATGAACGGTCCGGTCCGGTGTATTTCGGTTCTCAAAATCTAGGATCGGTCTCATATTTGTTTCAAACGGTACGATTTCTGTTCGAGATAAAAACTATAAAACCGTTTAAATACCCCGTACTCAATTCGATATCATTACGCTATCGGTACGGTTCACTTTTTATGCCCACTCCTCATCTATTTTGGAACATGTCATTACCCCGTACTCAAGTATATAGCTATTTCCATTTTTGTAATACTTTGTGCGAGAATGAACATATGGAATAATGTTAGCTGACTAAGTCTTAAAAATAGATGCAAATAAAAAAGTTGGTGTAAGGATTAAAAGGCAGCATCTTGGCAACTTAAAATATACTCCGTGATACTTCCTAGATTTTGTTATAATTGCTACCATTTAGAGTTAAATAGTCCATTTGGTAATTATTATATTCAACTTATCGGTCTTATTATGCATTTTTTACTAAACACACAACTTTTGACTTTGTATGCTTAATTGTGTAATAATCAGAATAAGTAAGGCTTAAATTACTTTTATGACTGAATTGATTGAAATTTCTTTGTTGAAATTACTTTTATGACTGAATTGATTGAAATTACAAATCACAGATGTTGAGATCCCCATGAAGTTTGTCATTCTGTCCATGAAGATGTTCGACAGAACCTCTGACCCATTGGAACATGTCGCCCAATACAAACAACGGATACTGACAGTTTCAGTTAGACCAAAGACACGGGAGGCGTGCATGTGCAGAGCTTTTGGAGCGATGTTGATAGGACCGACTCTAACATGATTCGTCAACTTACCAAATGAAGGTATCGACTCGTTTGCATAACTCGTCAATTTGTTCAACAAGCAATTCGCGAGCAGCAAAGTACTTGAAAAACAAACCAGCGACTTATACCGAATTTCCAACGACACGATAAATCACTAAGACACTACGTGCATCGCTTCAACAAGGAGAAGGTGTTGATTAAAAAATGTGACATCCCAACAGCGGTAGAGGCTTTCCAAAGGGGATTGCTTGAAGACTGAGAACTGTATCGATAATTGACCAAGTAATTGTGCTGCGTCTTCGAAGACGTCGAAGCCAAGACGTTGGCCTTTATCCGACTAGAAAAGGATCGACAATGTCGTCATCGCCATGATGGTTATGACGTGGGGCAACGAAATGCCAACTTGTCCAGGACACATGATTATAGGACAGGAAAACCTTATGCTAAGGCCGAAGAACGTCCAGTCTCTATAGTGACTACTTGGTTGGAAGACCCGGAGCTGCCACCCACCATCCAAGAGTACTGCTTCAACATCAACACTTCAGGCCTCATCAACTCGCTGGAGAACATGGGAGAGAAGGTTCGATGGCCCAGGAAGTATGAAAAGCCCACTGGATGACGAGATTCAAGCAAACGATGCAGCTTCCATGACGACATAGGCCACAACACGGAGGATTGTTTCACACTAAGGAAGGAGGTTGCTTATCTCCTAAGAAACAAGTATTTGACCGAAATAATGTCGGAACAAACGAAATCCCTCTTGCGACGAGATCAGAAGTCGAAACCAATTGAGAAATGATCTCTGTCACCTTAAGCTCCCTGTAAGGTAATTAATTTCATCAATGGTAATTCTGGTTTATTTAGACTAACATACTTTGCAGCAAAAAGACAGGCTGGGGAATATTCCCGAGACAAGTCGTTACTGGTTTACAGGGTTGCAACTAGACAAGACGATTGGAAAAAATGTCCCCATAACTTTCGAGGAGACATCCATGCCTAATTCGACGAAATCCCATCATGACGCTTTAGTCATATCTATGCGAGTAGCGAATTGCATGGTCAAACGGGTCCTCGCCGACAATGGGAGCACAACCAATATCATTACAATAAAGATGCTCAAAGAGACGGGGATCAAGTAGGATGATATATCAAAGACGGGATCAACCCTTGTCGGGTTCAATGGCGAACCAAGTCAGAGGTAGGTAACATAACTCTGTCTGTTTATGCAGAGGATCTTAACGTGCAGGTAAGGTTCGATGTAGTCCAAGACTTGCCAACGTACAACATGATCATAGGGACTTCGTGGTTGCACTAGATGGGGGCTATTCCGTCAACATACCATCAAGTCGTCAAGTTTCCAACGCATTGGGGAGTTCAAATCATCCAAGGGGATAGAACAACGGCTAAAATTTGCTACCAAGCCGCCTTAAAGCCTACAACAAGCCAAACTACATCGACATAACAACTAAAGGGTGATCCAGCTCAGGAGGAGGAAGATGATGACAGAACGGAGGATATTGTCATCGACCCTGAACATCCAGAACGAGCCATCCGCATTGAGAAAACTTATCAGCAGACCTCAGAGATGATCTCATTTACTTTCTCAAAGAACATAAAGATTGCTTCGCATGTAGTCACGAAGACCTGACGAGAATCAACCTGAAGATTATCACGCATAGATTAAATGTCCACCAATCTTACAAACCTGTCCGTCAGAAAAGGAGACGACTTGCCCGCGAGCCAAATAATCAAGCACTTGGGCAATAGCAGGCAAAAAGGGAAGAAAAACAACCAAAAAGTCAAGTTAAAAGGAGCGCTCGCCGAGCGCTTGACGCCCGCTCGCCGAGCGGGGGTGGCAGAATTTCAGAAAATTAGGACAAAAGGTCTGCTCGCCACGCGTCCTTACCCGCCCGCCAAGCGGGGTGAATTGTAAGTCACTAGAGATAGCGCTCCACGAGCGCATGATAAGCGCACATCGAGCGGAGGTGCTTTACGGAAAATAATTAAATTCGGTGGTGCGCTCGCCGAGCACACCTTTCCCGCACGCCGAGCGCACGGCCTGGAGTCCTATTTCGGCTCGGAGTCAATTAAATAATTTTCATGTGATTAAGTCTGATCAGACAGAAATCTGATTACCCGGAATCAATCCATGTTCCATGTCATCATTAATTAGAAAGCACCTAGTTATATTAATCGTCTAATCGCATTTTATTTTCCAACAATCCAAATCTGGCACAATTGCATTTTATTTATTTATTTAATCGCTGAATTTATTCAGTTCCTGTAGTTGATTCTTTTTTCCGTCCCTGTGGAGACAATACTCGTACTTACAACCTATATTACTGCATGCATCTTTTGAAGTGCGAGAAAAGTCACATCAATAACCCGGCGGTAGATGCATATACTCCTCCTCACGGAGATCTCAATGTAAGAATGCATTATCTATATCCATCGTCTACGCTTCTCGTCGGTCGTTTAATGTTGTTGTCGATAAAACCTACCTTTCGTTTCACACGAAATCATAGCCATGGATCATTCACGATAGTTTCCTTCTCCTTAGTGTAGTCTAATTGCATTGGATTTTTTGGTCTAGTCTAATCTCGTCCGGTAAATGTTTGATCTTTGTGTATTCAATAACTGTCAAAATCCGATCTGAACTAATCCGCTCTGTTAATTAAGTCTAGTCTGGGATCTGTTTAGTGCATATGTAATTGAAAACAGTTAAATATGAAATAAGTCCAGGCAATTTCTATGGTACCTTGAAGGTATAATATCTTGATGCTATGGACCAATCAAAAATTTTCAATTGAATAATTTAAATGCAAATAAAATGTAAAACTTTGAGTTGGACCAATGAAATGCATCCTAGGTATGGTACCCTCCTATTTTTGCTGTGTACCATAGCAACCACCATAAGTCCAATTGAAAACATTTTACCAGACATGCCACGTAAGTGCGTAACTGACGTTAGTGCAATAGTGCATATGTATTCATAGAACAAACTTACTAGTTATATTGATGATAAAAGTCACCTGGAAATTTGCGTGCTGTCTGACCTTTGGGTGTTTAACGTAGTTTGACTGCTGTTTGTGTTTACTCGCCTCGACATGATCGTAATTATGAGTATTATAGATTCTACGGTATTCTTAAGATATCATACTTTTGTTCACATGAACTAATCAGAATGTTGCAGTTGAATTATTTAAATCTAAATTCAAAATGATATAATGAATAAGACCAATTAAGTTAGTGGTAGTACGATACCCCATCTTTTAAATGAATACCAGAGTTGTCACATATGACTAATTGATGACGTTCACTCTTTAGCCGACCTCCAGGCTCCAGTATATATATATATATATATATATATATATATATATATATATATCATTCTCACTCGAGCAAAGACAGATCGCCATTGTATACATTCATCGACTAACTACTACTCATTTTAATTAATTGCGGAGTAGTTATTTGAACCGATCAATACATTACCCTCTAATTAGCATTTGAGATCCGCTCTATATATATGTTCAATTAAAATGTCTTCAAATATAAGAAAGAGATCCGCTCTTTGTGTCCTTGGCAGTGTCATGACATTCGAGATTATAGCATGTGCTACTCTTTGGGCCCTTGGACTAAAGAAGGTAAATAGATACTCACATCACATACTTATTCTTCTTTCTGTCCTAAATTGATTCACAATGTTAACATCATTTTCTCAACCAAGGTTGAAGTTACGTCCTTCTTAGAGTTGTCTTTTGACAAGTTTATCGCATGTAGGCTTGGACTCGGTGCAGGCCACCCGGCCCGGGAACCGGCCCGGCCCGCTACTGCGTGCAGGACCGGCCAGGTCCGGGAAACCGGGTCCGGTTCCGGTTCGGGCCTAGGCCCGGGGGTCTACCGGTTCCGGGCACGGGTAAGGGAAAAGGGGAACCGGCCCGGTCGGGCCGGGGCCGGTTCGTTGGCCTTTTTTTTATTTTTTTGATGAGGGAAATGATGATGAAGATGAAGATGATGATGAAGAGGGAAATATGGGAGTACATGGCGGGAGGAAGAGGGTGATGATGCCCACCGGAGGACCTAGGGGGGCAAGTGCCCCCGCTTTCGACCAGTAATTTCACTACTAGTACTTAGAGTAAAATCAGTGTCCCGCACCGGTCAAGAATTTCACTACTAGTATGCCCCTACTCTGACAAATTTCTGGATCCGCCACCGAAGGTCGGGGTGAGGAACATCAACCGTCCACTCAATTCTATCTCTTTGCATCAAGATTCTCCAATATCATATGGCTCTTATCATACACGTACCGTAGGATGCATACATTTCTACATTTTCATATTTGTCATTTCGCCATGCATTTCCTCCATTTGAGTCTCGTCCTTCTTATGCCCACACTCGGTCTCACTAAGTTTGGGACAATTCTGTTTACTAACCGATGATAAAGCAAATAGATCTCTGTCCGCACTCAAATTAAGTTTAGAAAAATATTACATATTCAGAAACTATATTAGCTTTACAAAGTTGCAAAAATCAGAATCAAATTTGATAAAAATTTGATATACGAGATATAAAGTAAGAGATTAAGAGTGATTTATGTTGAATAAGTGAATATTGTCTAGTATAATCTTAGCAGGATGGAGGGAGTATATTTTATATTCTATTCCTTGGAGATAATATATTTTATATTCTATTACTTCAATTTTGATAAAAAATAAATGTGTTCGGAATTTTTACACTAATAAGAAATGAAAGATATGAATGGTGAAATGTGTGTGCATAAATGTGTGTGTTTATCATTGATTAATTATTTTATGTTGTTTTGGATGCATGGGATATTGGGATGTATGATGAAATAGGTGAAGCATGACGATGAGTGGGACTCGATTTGGGATGTGAGTGTACTAGCAGCCATATGCCACGTGGTAGCCTCTGCTATAAACATAGGCTTTGCCGTTTGGATATGGTGTCGTGAGGCATCTAAAGAAAATGACACTGCTAAACTATTGCTCAAGTTGTATACACTCATTTTTCTTGGGGTGATAGGGTAAGTCTTTATTCTTCTCAAGTATGTACCTACAAAATAGCCACAATTGCAATTGAAAAAACTATTTTTACTGCTTATATATAGATCAGAGAAATTTTTCCTAAAAAAGACTAACGACTTGATTTTCTTTTTTCCTAAAAAAGATTTTCATTTTACAAAGTATAATATCGTCTGACCCCAGCAGCCTCTCATCGACTAGATTTTTCATCTCACATGCTTTTAAAATAAATAACTAAATAAATAAATAAATAAATATATACCCGGATGATCCAGGTGGCCTCACAGTTAAATACGGAGCATATAATATTTGACAATCTATCTGTATATAAAAGCAAAAGAAATCTTCTAGGAGAAGTTAGCGCCAAAAAAGTTCTAGGGAAGGAAGGTGCACGCAAGCACAAACAGACCTATACAACAGTTGCGAATTGCAATCTTCAGTAGACTTTATCAAATAAGTAGTAAAAATAAAATAATACGGAGTAATAACTAAATGTTCAGCCAACCGCCAGAATAGGGCTGGCAATATCACCCGCGCCCGCGGATACTCGGTCAACCCGAACCGAATATATGGACGAAAACCCGAAGAAATATGGATGAAAAATGGATGATGGGTGGATTGAAAGACGGGTTGGATTGGGTGTGGATGAACACTCATCCAACCCATCACCCGACCCATCACCCGCTCCATCCACCCGCACCTGCTGACCCGTATATAAATATATACACATATATTATAATATCTACTTAATATAATAATAATAATAATAATAATAATTAATATATTAACAGATACTACGTAACTACGGAGTAGCATTGTAGCGACTAAAATAGGAGCCCAACCCTAATCCCGTTGAACTGCAAAAAAAGTTTTATGTTGATGAAGAAATGTAGATTTGACAACTTGAAGAAATTCTTTATCTATTTTGTTTGACAATTAGTTCTTTCTTTATCATCGGCAGTGAATTAATGGTTGTAATATACTCCATCCGTCCCATATTTATCTTCGTAGTTCGATTTACGATGCTTGACTGACGATAAAGCAACTTGATCCCTGTTCACACTCAGATTATTTTTAGTAAATTAAATTTACATATTCATAAACTACATTAAATCCGCTACAAAATCTGATCAAGAAAATTTAAGTTTGATAAAAATTTGATATATAAAGTAAAAGATTAAGAGTAATTTGAGTTGACCATGTGAATAGTAACTATGAAGATAAATATGGGACGGAGGGAGTACTTAATTGCTCAAGTTTTTGTAGTTATTTTTCAATGAATTCTTAATTTTTGTCACGATTTCTCTTTATAATTTATTTATTTTTTCTTTCAAGTTTGACCTTTTGTACTCACCCGTTACTCACCCGATCCACCCGATAACCCGTTCATGATGGATGGGTTGGATGTGGATGTAAATTTTAATGGATGATGGACGGGTGGGTGGACTATGAAAAATGAACGGGTGGACGACGGATGAGCTTTCACCCGGTATAAATCCGACCCGCTGCCACCCCTACGCCAGAATTAAATGCGGAGTAGTAAGTGGCACTTAAGAATTCGGACTTCGGCTATGTGTGCTACAATACAAATATTGTGGATTTTTTTTGCTATAAATAATACAGAGTAAATATAAAGTTTAGAGAATATGTGAATCTGGATAATTATTTTCATTATGCATGTTATGTTGATATGATTAAAGGGGATAATTAAAAAGTAGAAAGACAGAGAGAATGGAGCTCTTGGAGTACAATGCATAAAGACGAGCATTATATTGGAGAGAGATAAGGCTGAAACACCTTGAATTGACAACCTTAAACATATAAATAAAATAAACTAAATCCCTTTCATATATAAAAATAATAGAATGCTACTTTGTAAATGCAAATTCAGTAATTTAGGCATTAATTAAAAAATAAAATAAAACTCATACCGAGCCATCAATTAAACTAGGAGTACATTTTAATTTTATTTTCTTCCTACACAAGTTTATACCCGTATTTGTCGGTAATACGGAGTATAATATCAAAAATGTTTGATTGTTTAAATGATCAAATTGCATATATGATGAAATGTGTAATGTATTTCTTTCATTATATATGTGTGTAAATATAATCAGATCTATATTTCCAACTGCACAATTAAATATTCCAATACTCAAATAGTTTTTGTTAGACGTGCATATTATCATCTATATATATTATATGAAAATTTGCCTACCATTTTCTGATATTACTCTTTTCATTATTGTGTAACAATACAAATATGCCCATTATTTATTTTTTATCATTATTATAATAATTCATGTATATATGTCTTGAAATTTAATTTTGTATTTTTTTCCTCTTTTTTATAGAAATAACCCTGAAGAGAAGTAAACACGTTTTGAAATTTCAAAAAAGACCCTCATGTTTTTATTTCATGAATAAAAGTAATTTCTGTCAAGTTAGCTAGAAAAAACTGTCATGTTCAAAGTGTGGTAATGCCAAACTTGGCAAAAGTTACTACTGTTTAAGAAATAGAAACATAATAATCTTATTTTGAAATTAAATTTCAAAACTTTTTTACTCTTGTTTGAAGATTTTTTCATCTTTTTTAATATACATCATTAAATCCTTTATAATTTTACCCCGTGCATCGCACGGGTGTAATACTAGTATGTATTTAAAGATTCGATTCAAATACTTCCTCAATTCTTTAATTCTTGGAACATTGTGATTTTTGCACTATTTACAGACTTTATTTAGACCACGATTTTCTACTGATATACATAATCAAATTATTACGTATAAAATGTTATTGAATTCCTATCCATGTGAATTTCTAAAATATCAATCTTTTATAATGTTTACTAATGCATAATTAAATATAATTACGGTCAAAGTTGTGTGTTGGCAAACGTGAAAGTCAAACCGTTGCAGGAATTAAAGAACGGAGGATAGTATATACGATTCGAGAATATTCTTGATTCTATTAGATTTGGTTTTACTGGAAGGATGTTATCACATTATTTCATTATTATAGTTGGAAATAGATGCTTTTATTACTCCGTATTTTATACTGCAACTCCGTATTAGCTAGGTTGGTGAGACTGAGAGTCGCTGAAAAGGGTAGAATGAAACAGTGAAATAGTTATGCGACAAATTAAGATTATTTTAAAATTACTCTAATAATCTCCCGGCCCATATGCATTAAATATAAGTCATGTTTGGTAAATGGTTGATCAGCCATTTTTCAGCTTATTTGACCACTTTTATTTGGATTGATCAGCTGAATTGTCAAAACTTATGTTTGGTAAATAGGTGGTAAGATTAGATGATTGGTCTCCAAAAGCTAAGTTTCAAAACGCTATCAATAGCAGCGTTTGTGCTTGGCTGGTTGCTACTTCAATTCCATTTGACGTTTTGTCTTCTGTGCATCCAGTTATTATTACTTTGACGAGTACAAACTACAAACCACGCCTCTTTAATCTTTATAAATTGAGTGTTGCTAGTTTATTTATTTATTTCTCACAAATGATGATATGCATCGTAATGCTTACATGATGCAGCATACCTTCTTTGATTTTTTAAATTACAAATAAATAGACTTGATTTTTTAATTCAAATTATCCACATTAAATTAAAATGTTGGTATCAATTTATTCTATTTTTCATGCAGTTTTATCTATCAAATTCTAAAATTTGAATGATTTACTCTGTAAATAGATAATATTATTTTTATAAGCAATAGTTAAAAATGCAATGAAATAGTAATGTCCTTATACATCTTTTTGCATTCAAACAGCTGTTTTATAACAGTTAATTTTACCAAACATTTATTAACAACAAGCTAACATAACCAGCCAATCAGAACAGCTGACACAATCAGCTGTGATCAAACAGTTGACATAACCATCTAACAGCTAACAGTCGATTGCCAAACCAAGGCCATATACAGCTTGATCTACTGGAGAGGAGAGATTGTTTAATCTATTTATTATTATACTCCGTATATAGGAAAAGACATAGCTCATAAAATACAAATTTACCCTTAATGAATGTCATCTGTCAAGCTCTCCTCAATTCACTCATTTTCTACGAGAATGTCATGTGGCTTTTTCACTCCAAATGTACGGAACACACTGAAAGAAAGGAAAGGTAGGCGCGAGATACTGATAGTATGTATTTGGTGGAGCCCAAAGTATAAAAAAATCCAATTTTATTTAAAATGTTATAACTTTTTCATTTTTGCTCCAATTTTTACAAAAAATATATCAAAATTCATATTCCCTCCGGTTCTTAATTAACTTTACACTTTTCTTTTTGGGTTGTCCCATATTAAACTTACACTTCATTATTTGCCTTATTTGCCTTATTTGGCAAACAAATCTACACCAAACAGTGCAAAACAGTGCCAAAACAGTGCCAAATAGTGCCAAACAGTGTCAAAACAGTGTACTTTACAGTTAAATTTACCCCTCAGTAAATTTATTTCCTTAATATGTGTGAAGTCAAAGTGTAAAGTTAATTAAGAACCGGAGGGAGTAATTTTTTGTGATCTTTCATTTGAGATCAATATTGAGTATATAAATATATAATTTGTTAACGGTCTTTATAATTATGTATAAAATAAAACTATACTCCCTTCGTCCTAATTTGATAGTCATGTTGCAATTTACGAGACTTGACCAACGATAAAGCAAACAAATTCTTTTCCACACTCAAATATTAGTAGCAAATAAAATTTACATATTCAGAAACTACATTAAAAGTTTTACAAACTCGCAAAAACCTGAATCACATTTCATAAAAAATTGATACAAAAAATAAATGATTAAGAATGATTTATGTTGACCAAGTGAAAATGAACTAGGATTATCAAATTGGGACAGAGGTAGTATATATTTATATATAAGAAAGTAGCAGGCTATTAAAAATATGGTTTTACACTCAATTACTATGTAACATGTCTACCTACAAGTATTAGAGAGCATTGCTCTACTTATGCCACATGACTTCATCT